TGTTGCGAATGGGCGTTTTTTGTATTATATTTTAAAAGAACAGTTAAATCTGGTTTTTCTTGTTCTTTTTCTCAACGCGAAGTTTGTGAATTCAAGATGTGTTTAAATTAAAGGGCTTCTTTTTTGCTTGGTATAGAATGAAAGGTAGTTTGCTGGTTGGTTTCTTCTAAAACAGCAAGGCTACTTGTCCTCGTTTTCTAAAAGTTAAGTGGTCATAGAAAACATAGTGACGCACTTCCCGAGCTACGATTGATGCTCTCAGAGCGTATGACAATTTAATATGATCCTTCCTATATCCAGCGAGTTTACACTTACCGTCGACGATACATATTTGAGACTCGAGGAATTAAATGAACTTTGGAGGGTGTTACGCCAAAACGTGAATGGTTGATAAAAGTAACATCTGTAACAGTAACATCTATAAACCTGAAGAAGGCTGGTATGGCCAGCCGAAATATTGTTATGAAAAAACAATGCACGTTGTTCTGAATCAGCTTTGCAGTAGTCTTTGGACTTCTCGTTCTTGATAAAAGCAGCATGAGTTAAGAAGTGGGCCACAGTTTGCAGCCAGGCGAACTCATAACGCCGCTATATTAACGCGAGCAAGACCTGTTACTCGAAGGTCCTCTTGACTTTTCGATCCGGAGCTGGATTTTATTGCGGTATAGGTTTGTTGGATATCAGCAAAATGTTTTTAAATTGTTAAAATACCGATTTTTCAAACATAAAAATCAGCAAAATAGACACCTTCAATAGCAAATTAAAACATTACCTCTAGTTTGTAGAGACTTCCCCAGGGGTCCAGAGGCCCGTTTCTCGAAAGTCCCGGTAACTTTTCGGGCCCGAAATCAAATATTCAAATCGAAATATAAAGAATAGGAGCGCCTGTCCTGGCTTGCAAACTACTCCTTTTTTTTTTCATTAACTGATTGTTTTATCACGTTAGATGCAAAACTATTGAAACTTCAATCTTTAATGTTAACGGAGACAGCTTACCGGGCCCGTTAATTATCGAGACTTTCGAGAAACGGGCCCCAGGTTACTTGTGTTTTACTCGCTTCGGGGCCTTCCATCACGAAGTCAGACATGGCAGACATCGTTTCAGGCGTTTTTCATTTTTTTCCTTGTTATTTGACATGTACACTAGAAGAAAAATCGTGAACAAGGCCAAATATATTTTCATTTGTCTCGCATGTTTTTGTTTTTACCTGTATTGTTCGCAACCTTGCTTCGGCAGAATTGCTTCGTCAAGTCTTCATTTGACTGAAAAGTTTTTTTAAATTATGTTTTCGTTTAAGTTTAAAATATGATAAATATAATATGATAATTTTAATCACCTTTTTTAAGCTTATGTGGGCGTTCTCCATTGTCTGTATTCCGCTCCAAACTTCTTCCGCTCTTTAAAGGTGAAATGAACCAAAAAATTGACGTATTTTCTTTTGTCGCTTTACCTTCACCAAACACTAAAAAGAACCATCCTAAGTGAGATTTGGGTAACGATTTTTCTTCCCAAGCCTTTATAGAAAGATAAAAGATCAAAATCCGAGCATTTCCGAAGAATTCACGAAAACGTTTCTGAAATGGCCACGTGATAGACTAGAGACTACGTGACGTCAATGTTGGTCTTTCAGGGCGGAAAAACGTTCTGCGCAAGCTTCTGCGCATCCCTTTTCGCCTGCGTTTGTTTGTCTCGTTCTGTGAGAGTTCTAACTGAGACTGAATGAAATACACGAGGTGCGAACGTTTGCTCCTTGTAAAGGCTTTTTTTTGTTGTTGTTTTTGTCGTTGTTGTTGTTTTTTCGTCACTTGAAAATTACTTTGGATTCAGAAGAACCAATTCAGAACCAATGTTAGAGTAAAAACAGATCATCCGTCCGTCTGAGGAGGAATAAAACGTTTTGAACATTTCCAAAGAGGTTTGTATTTTTCTGATAATTGTGCATTCGATTTGTGAATTGATATTTTTGTCCAGTGCTTCGCCTTCTTTCGCCGGACTGAATTAAAACCCCCTTGTATTTCTGTTATTAGTAGTTACGGTTAGTTTTTTTAAATGCCCAGATTTATTTACCTTTGCAGAACCAGCTTTATCCTTGTCTTATGTCAAAGAACCGTAATACTAACGCTTGCAAGTGAACAACTTGAGCGCTTAAAACTTCCTCGGAACTTTAGAAGGCCAGCAAGCTTACTCGAGAAGAAAAGACTACTTCGATCATTTTTCTGTTGCTCAAGTAATAATAGTCAGAGTNCAATGTTGGTCTTTCAGGGCGGAAAAACGTTCTGCGCAAGCTTCTGCGCATCCCTTTTCGCCTGCGTTTGTTTGTCTCGTTCTGTGAGAGTTCTAACTGAGACTGAATGAAATACACGAGGTGCGAACGTTTGCTCCTTGTAAAGGCTTTTTTTTGTTGTTGTTTTTGTCGTTGTTGTTGTTTTTTCGTCACTTGAAAATTACTTTGGATTCAGAAGAACCAATTCAGAACCAATGTTAGAGTAAAAACAGATCATCCGTCCGTCTGAGGAGGAATAAAACGTTTTGAACATTTCCAAAGAGGTTTGTATTTTTCTGATAATTGTGCATTCGATTTGTGAATTGATATTTTTGTCCAGTGCTTCGCCTTCTTTCGCCGGACTGAATTAAAACCCCCTTGTATTTCTGTTATTAGTAGTTACGGTTAGTTTTTTTAAATGCCCAGATTTATTTACCTTTGCAGAACCAGCTTTATCCTTGTCTTATGTCAAAGAACCGTAATACTAACGCTTGCAAGTGAACAACTTGAGCGCTTAAAACTTCCTCGGAACTTTAGAAGGCCAGCAAGCTTACTCGAGAAGAAAAGACTACTTCGATCATTTTTCTGTTGCTCAAGTAATAATAGTCAGAGTTTTTGTCCTTTAGTTTTTTCAGTTTTAATTACATAGTTTTGTTATCTTTCTGTACGCAAATTTTCCTTTCTCATGTTCAACTTGACAACACAAAGCAAAATTAATCTGCGCGAAACGATCAAGTTTAGAAAACTATGGTTGCTTTGAAACCGATCTTGGGGAAGATTTTCTACATAAAGATTAACTCTTTTTCTGCCCACATATCAACGCCAAAACTTCTACATTGAGGATTTTGTTTACATTTTATTGATCTGCGAAGCTCGAGTGCGACAAAGTTCAGTGACTTCAAACACATTGTGGGCAAACTTGAATTCCTTTGGGCAGATTATTATACAAAGATATGTTGTTTTTGTGTCTACGGTGGAGCTCCGGACCTTATATATCCAGGAACTTCCTTATATGAACACATTTTGTGAATGCATCTTGAAACAAATCGGACTTACGCACGCACATTTCCAGTACAACTCAAGGAAATTAGTAAATGTCGTTAAAGTCACTTATACTATGATGTATTCCTCGAGAAAATTAAATAATAAGAATTAAGGTTATAACCACAACTTGCAACTTTTGAAGACAAATTGCCTGTTCTTTCTAAGTTTATGACCGCACAAAAACCACTTCTGCGCCAAGTCGACTCGAAAAACTCTGTTGTGAATTTCCCGCTTTTTTTCACCTGACCAACATTGACGTCACAAGCTGTTTTTTCCGACAATTTTTCCGACCGCTCTACGAAGATAAGGGCCAAAAAACAGCAATTGTTAATTGCGAATATCTCGGAGATACTTACTTCAATTGAGCTGAAACTTCATAGTATGTTTATTTGGTTCATATTAAACACATTTCACTAGAATTGAACAAAAATAAAAATTGTCGAATTTTTGGTTCATTTGACCTTTAATAAGTTTAATTTCTTATAACTGTCGCCAGCAAGTATGAATTCAATTTATTTCTCCTCTCGAATTCATTATTTTCCAACATAGTGATTTACGCGTTTCAATTAATTTTTAGTAACAAAGCATCACAAAGTTAGAAATGAAAACTGATGTTTCCTAGTCGCTTGACTAATGGCTCAAAAACGAAGGTATCGAGCCAGTGTGTCTACTTCCATGAATAAAAACAATTTCTGTTCAGCTGAAAATGGTGCCTTCACTTTAATCCTCTTCTCCATCCCATTCAGTGCATATTAGGCCCGGTTCAGACGCCGCTCCACTCATGTGCCGAACCTAACTGATGAATTAAGTACGGCAAAAGAGCGGTGTCTGAATCAATTTGGTACGGCAGTTTTAGTTTGGTGCGGCAAAAGCGTTAAGTTCGACAGTATGTCGAACTTTTGTCGAACTTAACTTAGGTTCGACACACGGTACGCCGTCTGAATCAGATGTCGCGCCAGTGTCGCTCCAAAGTCGAACTTATTCAGTTAGGTGCGTCACATGAAAAGTACGGCGTCTGAACCAGGCCTTAAAATTTAAAGCGGCTATTTTAAGCCGAAACTTATCCAAAGTCGCAAAGAAACAGGACCCATGCATTTTTTACGCGTGAAGCAGGTTCTGATGTTGATAGTAATAAACTGACTTGATAGTCTCTTAAATAATAACAACAATAATAATAATAATAATTATTATAATAATAACATTAGTAATATGTGGATTGACGTGCGCAAAGCCTACGACTCCGTCGATCATGATTGGTTATGCGCAATGACTGACGTACACAGGCTTCCCGTCTGGCTGGGTGAAGTTATACGCAAGTTGTGTGCGAGCTGGAATACTAAAGTAGTAGCTACAACAAGGCAAGTGCGAGAGACTTCTAGAAAAATAAGGTTCATGAAGGGACTACCCCAGGGGGACGCTTTGTGTCCTAGACTGTTTACACTGTGCCCGAACCCAGTAGCGTGGCGCCTGCGGGCAACAGAGGGATACCGGTTATCCAAGCCTATAGGAGTCAAAGTCACCGATCTTCTGTATATCGACGACCTGAAGGTTTTTGCTGCCTCCGAGAGCAAGCTGAACCGAGTGCTGAAAGAGACTAGAGGAGCGATGCAGGACATCGGCCTCCACTGAAATCAGAAAAAGTGCTCAGTGATACACGTGAAGAGGGGAGCCCAAGTGCTAGACGAGTCTGGTATGAGGATGGACGAGACAACTACCATCACGGCTCTTGGAGAAGGAAAACACTACAAATTCCTGGGGGTGCTAGAGAACGTTCGACAGGATGAACGGCTGGCCCTAGCGTGTGGGGCTAAAGAGTATCTACGCAGGATATCTATTATATGGTCCAGCCCCCTGTCTGATTGTAACCGTGTGCAGGCAGCTAATAAGTATGCACTCCCGGTTCTGCGGTACTTAATGTGGACACAGCATTGGCCTCTATCAGAGTTAAGAGATGTGGACAGAGCAGCTCGGAAGATCATAGTTGAGAACGGTGGCAAGCACCCAGCTAGCCTAACTTCTTTGTTATATCTACCGAGGGAGAAAGGGGGTAGAGGCCTGCGATCAGTCGAACACGAGTACAAGATCACTAAAATCAAATCGCTACTGAAATTGTATCAGAACTCGGACCAGAATATGGAAGCAGTTAGAGAATTTGAAGAACACGCCATGGCATCAGGCCACCAGTCGCTCGTAAAGGAAGCAGCTAAGTACGCTGAAGAACTCAACATCACACTTCAGCTTGATACCCTAAATCCCGTGTGTGTTACAACAGAAGGAAAGGTGGTAACTGCAGCAAGAGCTGGGAATCTGTTGAAGCAATCTCAAGAGAAGCAGTTCCTGGAGATCGCTAAAGACAAAAAGTGGCAAGGAAAGTTATTCCGTATCAGATGGGAAGATGAGAGCCTAAGCATAACCAGCTGCTTTGCATGGTTAAAAGGTTGGGCTACATGCCCTACATATACCATCGCCGGCATGTATGAATTGTATGATCAGTTGTTACCTACGAAGCTCTACACAAAGGAGAAGACGCAAACCTCCAACGACGGCGAAGTCCTATGCAGGTTATGTGGGAAGGTAGCTGAGAGCGTTGCACATGTATTGGCTGGATGTTCCTCCCTGGCACAAACCAAGTACCGATACAGGCATAATGCAGCTTTGAAGATTCTGTTTTTTGAGCTCCTGCGAGAGCATGGGTTAATAGAAGAGGTTCCACCATGGTACTCACCGGTGATGCCAAAACCAGCCTACCAGAACACCACGAGAGAGGCGTTTTGGGATATTCCCATCTATGCAGTGCACAACGAAGTTAGAGCAAATCGGATCGACGCGCGACTTGTCAGCCACGAGAGAAAAGAAGTCTGCACAATTGAAATGAGCTGCCCATGGATTGAGAGTAGAGCTAAGAAAGATGAGGAAAAGACACTCAAGTATGGGCCCATGATGTGGGAGCTGAAGCAGAGATACAATGGTTACAGGGTTGAACAGTACAACGTGATAATTTACGTACTGAGTGGTTACTCTAAACACCTAGAGAAGTCGGTGAGGAAGCTACTTGGGGCGAGAGCACGGAGCGTACTTGAGCGAATGCAGAAGTCGGTCATCTCAAACACTTTAAACATTGCCAGAACATTTAAGATAAATACTTAGTTAGGGTGCTAAGGACTCCAGTTTTTAGGTTTTTTGTTTTTCCTCTAGAAATCCAGAAACACAAGCTTGCTGATGTTTTTAATTAGATTTTTTAGAACATTAGAGTTTGATATTATTCTAAATAAGCTTTTAGTAGAGATAATCACATTATGATGGCCTCGTTTAGGTATATAAGAGACAATGAGAGTGTAAAAACTGAATAATTTTCTAAATAGGCCTCTATTAGAGATAATCATATCATCATGTCTTAGCGTAGGTTTAACAGAGTATCAGAATTTAATAATATTCTAAATTGGCTTTTTAAGTAGAGAGATTCATATCATTATGTATATTAGGATCGTATTAGGTTTCGTACCGACCTCTTTTTTACTTCTAAGTATAGCTTCTCAAGTGGTGTAGGTTACGCTATGCGCCCTATACTACTCATAATGTGGACAGCATTCCAAAGTTTCATACTGCGACATAATAATTATAATAATAACATTAGTAATAATAATAATAATAATAATAATTATTATTATTATTATTTTAGCAATAATAGTAATTCAAAGGAGTATTTAGGACAGGTTTTTAGATCTGTTACTGAATAAGCTCGCACTTCGTACATGTTCGGCTGTTCCTTGTATTTTATACTCGATAAGACGCACTTACTAGTTTATGAAAATTTCAAAGCCTGCTGTTACAACTACTTTTTATTAATAGTGCCACAGTTCTTTCGTTTTTCTTCCTACGCCAAATATAAGGTTCTCATTTTTTTAATGGATTATTTGACTTTATTTTGTGCTTGTTCATTTCACCGTTGAACGCAGTCAGTTGTTTAATAAAACTTAAGAGCAAATGTCTGTAAAAATCGAGCAAAATCGAAATTTCGCGGCCACAGTCAAAAAATCATTTTCGCTCATATCTTGTCCATAGATAGGTATAAGTAAGAAATTAAACGTGGTGTAGTTTGTTTTTCAAAAGGCAGCTTGGATTTGGAGAAAATCGACAAAATCAATTTTCGTGGTCGACGACTTGAAAACAACCAAAATTTGAGGCAAAATGAGGCGGTCTCAAAACTTCGCTCGCACGCAAAAAGGAAGAAAGCGTGGTAAAATATTCCCCGATAAATCAATTTATAAAGGATTTTAGCCCTAGTATGGCGGTTAATTCTTATCTTCACGATAATGTGGAAGGTAAACAATTTTATTTTAGTTTTGGTTCTTTTTCAACTCAACGAAGTTTAAATTTAGGCTTCAAGTCGCGATTTAATTTTTAGGCATGTGCTACACCTTGGTTTTTCCTGAAACTCAAGCTATAAGTTATTAAAACACTGTGCTAAAACATATGTGAGAACTGGGTTGGGTAATTTAATCTGCGCTTCAGACGAACCTTCTGAACTTGAACAACTTTTGAGTGAAATAGGATACATTTGCATAATTCAACAACGCCTCGCTGTTGCCGAAACGGATCATTGGTGTTTCCTGAAAAGAAATCTGATGTACGATAGTAGTACGATAATAAATTTGCTAACACGAAAAAGAAATTAACTTACCTTTATAGTACGGGGCACTTCTTTTAATTTTTCTACGCTCAAGCTCCAAATTCTGCTGGCGCTAACGCATTTTGTAATTTGACCTCTAATGAAAGGTCATTGGAGATGGGCCAGGGTTATTAAAATGTCACTCAAACCAAATGAGCGTTATGATCTAAATTCTTAAGGTGGTTGAACAAAATATATCACGAGAAAAATATGTTTTAAAGACATTTTCGGCGATTTGAAAGATGTTCTTACCATTTAGTAGAATCAGTTACTACATATAGCGAGTCACAGTATTGCCTAAGTGTGAGAAGACAAGGAGTGATGTGGCGTGACAACGAACACCATCTTTCGAACTTAAGAATGTGCAGAAAACAAAATTGTTTATACATTTCTTTGATGTTTCCAAAGTTATTTGTTCAATTATACAACAACTGAAAGGTTGCATAGTCTGGCTGTCAACAGTGCTTGATTTAAAAGTGTAAAGTGGTGGTCAGTTTATCGGACACCTGCGTGATAAAAGAATTGACTAAGGGATTTGGAAAACATCAAAATCATACGCCCTGCTAGTACACACGAACACTGAGTAGGTTTTACTTTGGAAAACCTCGATAAATGATCTCGGAAGCTTTTTTTGTTTTGAGTGAAGAATCATAATAAAGAAAAAATTATGCTATTTCATATGTATATTTTGAGGAAGGGTGGCTCTGAATCTTACTTAGGTACTCTCTCTTGGTACTACCTCTTAAGACTCACATGGAATGGTCGTTGAGGGGCTAGAAGAACCCGTCGAAAGGGTTACGCTGTAACTCTTACTCAAGGATGTTCGGTAAGCAATTTGCTCTAAGCCCTGTCTCCCCCCTTTTCAAATGCTTGCACAGGCTAACCAGCATTAAAAAACTTGCATTAGCACACTCAACTAAGGAAATATTGCAAAGTAATTGGGGAAATGCTATCCAGGCAGGGCGGCCTTTTGGAGTGGCAGATGACGTAGCGCTATTTTCAAGACTACAAACCTCTCCTTGAGTGTGAAGACTTAAGGCGTGAGTTCCAGTTTGTAGTATTGAATATATACAATGAAGGAAACCTGGGGTCTAGAAAGCTGACCTGTTCCTCTCTGATTCCTTTACCAAAGGATACCTCAAAGTATATCGGATAATTTCCTCCTTACAGCATGTTCGGCTACTCAAACAAGCTTTAAAACCTGACACTAAGATGATATACCGCAGATACAGCAAGCTAGAAAGCTGGAATCAAACGTGTTTACCAATGGGTTTTGCCCTGGCGTCTTCAAATTCACGTTAAAAAGGACACTGTTTAGGCACTGTTTCCCAGGGGTCCGTTTGTCCAAAGTCCCTATTACTTTTCGGGCCCGAAATCATTAACTGATAGTTTTATCATGTTAGATGCAAAACTATTGAAATTTCTATCTTGCATGTAATCAAGAACAGCTTTAGGGGCCCGTTAATTATCAGGACTTTCGAGAAACAGGCCCAGAAGCGGATGCAGCCTCAATATCCGTCTCACTGATGACAGAGAGAAAGTTATGGTCGGAGACTTTCTTTTCAAGAGTTCTGATCATGGATTTCTGACGAGCCACCAAGTTTCAGTCTCAAGACCGGTACTAAAGCGCACACTCAGAACATGGCAAAATGACCGAGAGTAAAATTGAAAAGAAAACTTTGTGGGTAAAGAAAGTAGTGGAAGCGATAGGCGATAGTTGACAGGGGCACCCAACGTCAGTTTCCTCCTAACTGTATTGAAAACACTTTCATGCTATCCAAATTACTAAGTTTCATGCGGCGCCATATAATTATAAAAATTGTTCGGTCATCCAAAGGGCAACTTGAGTATTCTTTTCGATCGAAATTACAAGGGCTTCAAAATTATTTTTTTCGAGAATTTTGAAATTTTCTCTGATTCCTTCTCTATCACAATTTCGTATCCGAAAATTTTGATCCCCTTTATATGGAGAAAACCTGTCTCGTGTAGGAGAGTCACCCTCCCAGCCGAGAGAAAAAAAAAAGACATTGACCCCAACCAGCCTTCGGGCATGCTCTAATTGTCTCGCTTTGGCTATGCAAGCCCTTTACCGATACGGATCGGATTTGATCTAGACGGTCGGACCGAAATGTCTCCTTCCATTTGACAAAATTATTTTCCCCAGGACCACTGATCTGTATCCTGCTTACAAGCACTATAACCAAACTCGCGGTGGCTTTTGTTTGGTCGGTGCAACTGGAATGTACCGTTCCACTGGGCACGTGGATTTTCCGAAAAGCGCGTAAAGTGCTTAATATGGAGAAAAGTTGGCCTGGCTAGGAGGCTGACCCTACCATTGCAAAAGGGTGACTGGACAAGGTGGGTCAGCCTTCCAGCCGAGCCAACTTTTTGTCATTTAAACGGTTCGCCATGTTTTGTAAAGAAATGCGTGAAAAGTTGCCTCTTCCAGGGAAGCTCGGGTAAGCTGGTGACCCTTCTGCTCGAGACAAATTTTTTTCATATAAGCGGGGCCTAAATTTTAGTTCTTCACATTAATCGCCATAGTCCAGCTGACGCACATCTTTTTGTTTTTTGTTCTATAAAGTGGAAAACTGAAATTAAAATATACAGTGGAACCCCAGCGTTGGGCCATAAAATCCTGGTCGTAATAGCGAGGTGGTGGCATTGAAGAGGTCTTCAAAATAATAAAATGACTCGGAGATTTTCATGTCTGGGTCGAAGGACTATGGGAGGTGAGACAAGAGGTGGTCGTATAAACGGGGTGGTCAAAAGGCGGGGTTCCTCTGTATATAAACAGAAACAAGAGTTTGACGATCGGACAACCATGTTCAGATCAGGAAAAAAATACTGAAAGATAATTGCAGAATGTTTACGAAAACTGTTATCCAAAACAATGGAACTTACATCGGCGAGAGAAAAGACAGCCGCCTGATAACGCGGTGTAATAGCTAGAGATTGAAGCCTGAAGTCAATCAAAGGCAAATACAAGGCAAGAGGGGGGAAGTTGACGTGAAAAACTATATTTAATTTTTGGACTTATTGAGTATTGTATAGAAGCATACTTTAAGAAAACTTAGGAAAAAAATTTAAAAAAAAAAACATGATTTGGATTGTTAGTAGCATAATATGCTACTTCCGGCAAGAACATTAAAAAAAGGCATCGCTCAAATGGTTAGATTGGAAAGCCTGTGAATACTGTCACGCAACACTTTTGACCAGACATTTATGACCAAAGGTGTATCGGCAGCCCGAAAGTTTCACTATCAAAATCGCAGTTTTTGTGAGACCTAGAATTTTTAAATGGCAATGGATGTAAAAGTTTGACTGCGGAAAAGAAAGGCCAGCAATACCAAGAAATGTTCTGTTTGAGGTTATTTTCACGCACCACGTTTCCTCGAGGTTTTGGATCTTCTGTTGATTAGCTTGGGACTAGGCGCAATGCCAGTTAACCAGAACGGGAAAACACAGTGAGGTAACA